TTCTGGATAGAATCAGTTAGGGTTATTTGAAGAAAGTTAAATTTTAACATATCACTCAGAATCAGCCAAAAGCAAAATCTATTCCATTTCGGCTGAATTCGACATCGCTTTTTCCAAAATACATTTAAAAATCGATCGTTTTTAGAAGTCCTAATAGTTGGGATGCCACGCCACCACCCAAGACAGGCAGACTATATTCTCATCGACGTTTAGACTAGCGATCTGACCCTGCATATAACTTAGAAGTTTTGTCGTGGTGTCGAGACCGTTGTCTGTGAGACGCAGGCCGCCTAGCAGTTGTTTGAGGCGGAATTCGAATGGCATACCAAATCTGCCCAAGATCGCATCGCGGAGAGCATCAAATGTTCGATCTGGCGGTGGATTACACACTGTGTCGCGCAAACCCGGGGCCAAAGACCTCGGGAGTTGACCTATGAGCTGTGTGAATTTGGCTATCTGAATAGTCACTGTAGCTAGCCTAAACTGTGCTTCGACCTGGGCTAGCCAGAACTCGGGGTCCTCCGCTTTAAACTCGGGTAACCGGGCTTGCAGGCCTAAAACACTCGTATCCTCTAATGCGGCTAGAACGCCGTTCTCCTTACACTCAAAGAATTGAGTAAACATTTGGTACAGTGTAAATTAAGGAGGGACAAATAAATAAGAGATTTGCAAGGATACCGGAAAAAAACGTACTGGCGCAATAGAAATCAATGAGTAAGATAAGTATCTGACTATGTAAGTGGGTACGCAGTAAGAATAACGGAAAACTAGGGGAATCGAAAGCAAAACTTTGTTTAACAGTAAAAGCAAATAGCCAATACAGTAAAACCGTCAAAAACCGTTAAAAAAGTAAAATAAACAATAACACTATAGGCTGAATACAAAAATAAAAATTGTTGTGCAGAGGCGTCAGACTCACTTGAGACTTGCAGTCCGTAGGGTGCTAAAAGGAAACGGGGTAAATAAACTCGAGCTCACCAATTTAGCACCTCTAAGTCTGGCCGGAGTTACGACGCGTTCACGATTTCAACAGATCGGGCTTATCGAACGTTTCCCAGAGCGAGTACGGATGGAGAAGGAATTCGGGTACGAGCGTTCGTAATATAATGTGACCTGCAGTGGAGAGCGTATAGAAAGCAATGCGCACAATACAACTCACCGGAAATTGTGCCAAGTTCGAGGTCATATGTGTTTTCGAAATGGTGGGCAATAAAACAAAATAGGGTCTTTACATGAGTCAGGGGAATGGTGTTGGAAAGTGAAAATAATGTTACTACAAGCTGACCTGGTACAAAAAACTGGACTCCATCTGGCTCTGCCGCAAGTCTTGTGTCCTGTGCTGTACTGTCTTATCCTGAACTGAACTGACCTGACCTGAATTCGCAATCCAATCCGCTACTAGGGTCATGATATTGAACAACTTCAAGTGGTTTGACCAATGTCAAGTAGCGGCGCGCAGGGCAAGGGGGGAATTATTTAGAATACGGTCGGTTTTAACATGCCGAAGACCGGAATTCTTCATTCCGGTTTACAAGGCCATAGCCAGACCACACCTAGAGTATTATGTACAGGTTTGGGCACCCTTATTCAAGAAGGATACTGCCTGGTTAGAGAAAGTTCAGAGATTGGCCATCAGAATGGTTGGAGGCTGGAGGGGAAAAACATATAAGGAAAGACTAGAAGCTCTAGGGCTTTTCTCATTAGAACGAAGGAGACTGCGAGGAGACCTAATAGAAACCTTCGAAATCATGGAGGGAATATTGGGATTGAAGCGGACAGTCTCTTCACATTAGCCCCCCAACACGGCACTAGGGGTCATGAGCTCAAGATCATGAAGCGGAGGTGTTGACTAAACATGAGGAAGCACCTTTTCAGGAATTGGATAGTCGATAGTTGGAACCGGCTTCCCAAGGAAATCTTCGACCTCCAAACTGTGCAAGCTTTTAGGACTGCACTCGGTAAGCGATGGGTGGAATTATTCCCATCACTGGCAGTGTAGGCGAGTGTAGGTGTGCCAAATGTTTAAGATACCTTTTCCCTTTTCTAATGGTACACGCATGGAACGGTCGCGTCTAATAATTTACTCGCCAACTTGGTGAGATGAGATCCTGTTTCTCATTCTGATTTCAGCAGAGCTGGGTGCCTACGTGTAAGCATACCATCAAAGGAATCCTGGACGCTCGATTGGCTGTGGCCATATTCAGTCCTTTGTAACCTGACCTGACCTAACCTGACCTCCAGAGTGCAAAGGAACGAGACTTTGTCCTATTCAAGGCATCATTCATCGCTAGCACAATGGTCAACATCAAAATTGGGGCAGACAACCGCACCCGCAAAGCGGTCATCTCGGGTCCACACTACCCCCTGAACACCCCAGTAGTAACCTCATAGGAAATCCCATAAGAACCGCAAAGAACCCGGTCCCTGGGCAACATTCCAAAAAATTGAGAACCTCTTACGAGGATTACTCCACCGACATAACAACCATCAGACGGCGCAACCACGCACAGATCCTCCCCTGTGTGCTGATAAACGTTTGCAGCATCCTAAACAAGAGAGACGAGGTCACTGATACTTTAGACACCGTTGATCTGTGCGTCCTGACGAAAACAGGGCTGCGCGAAGAAATCGAAATCGGTGACTGGAGCCGCAATTTTCAGCATTA